ACAAGAATTTAATTTTAACATTTTCTTACATCATAAATCATGTTTCTTGGTTGGATACTTAATTTTTTTATGCAAAATTTAGTAGGAATTGCTGCTTCACATCTATTGCTGGTTTCATAACTTCAAAATTTTGTAGAATCATTTGATAATTCTGATTGTTGAAATGATTCTTCATTTACTATTTTAATGGAGTGTAACAATACATCAAACACAGGACATCCTGTAGCTAATTCTTGATTATTGTTAGATAAATGAACTTTCAGGTATATTATCTAATTTTAATGTTTGCAAATTCATATTACATGATGATTGAGAAGGAATTGGTGAATTGGGTGAATTAGAATTTGACATCATGAATTTTATTTACTCCATAATTTAAAAATCTACAAAATAATTAGTTTATTTTATTGTTTTGTTGATTTCGTCACTTTCGTCAAATTACTCAAAGTGTATCTCAAAAAAAAAATATAAAAAAAAATATCTAAATAGAATTTTCAATCAATATTATTATCATTACCACTGCCTTCTTCTCTACCACTTTCTATTCTAATTGTTTAATCATCATCATCATCATTTTTAACATTTTTACTTCCCACATTTCCATATTATCATTGTTGATATTTTTTGGACATTTTAATTTGTGATTAAAATAAATATATACCAATTTAATACACACATTCAGGTGTTAATAGTTTATTCTCTTTTTATCATTTATAAAAAAAAAAGTAAACCAATTCCTTTAGAAGCAAAGCTGATGAAATAGGCGCTGAAATTATCAATTCTACCCAGTTTAACAAATGAGGCCAAATTTTTGATTTTGACATTTCTTAAAAATGCTATCAATAATAAACTTGGTAAAAATTAAAAATTCACACTTTTTTTGAATAGAATTGTGTATGATGTGTTGCATTTTTTTTCATGCACATGTCACATCTCTAGCAATAGCAATAGTAATAGGGGACATTTAAAGAGTGAATAAGGATAATCTATTAAGGATAATATCAGGTGATGCCTTTTTTGTTAATGATATATATCAATTGAAGCCATCTAGAAAATACAAATAAAATATTTCAGGTGTTTTGACGTTTAATTAGAAAAAATTGGCTATATAAATTTTTTTTATTTCAAATGAATCTAAACCCATTTAATTATGCTTTGGAATCATGCAAACCATCTTCACATATCTTTCAACATTTGTTGAGATATGCAACATTTTGTCACCACCATTATTTTAGTATAGGTTCATAGAAATTCAAAATTATTTAATTACAAATAATACTATTAATACCTGAATTTTGATTACTATGTCTTTGATTTTATATACAATTGGTTTAGTGAGGCTATTATTGAAGTTATGATTTAACTAAATGATAGAATTTGGTAATCTTAATTTCAAAATTCTTCAATCATATTGTAAAAATTAATTAAAGATTGTGTGTGGGTTAATTATGTATGTCAAAACTTATGGCTTTAGTCATTGACTTAACTAAAGTATTGGTATTGACTAAAGGTAGTTTCTCTTTTTGTCGATTTGACTAAAAGCAAAAACTCTTGACTAAAGTAAAAACATTTGACATAATTAAAAACATTCATCTGTTAATATTAATGTGTAATGAAAATTTTTAAAATCCGTTGAAACAATGGTTATACTGTAGAATACGACAAAATATTCTGATAGGATTGTATTGAGGCAGAACGTTAGCGTATTTTCAATTATTGTTTTGTTCATATATAATTATCTGGAAGACTATTGTAATGTTTGTCACTAAGTTTGCTCCATGACTCATCTCCAGTAGTGATGTTAGCCGATAGAAAAACCTTGGTCAGCCAAGCCTAACAGCTCCTAACCGGCTATGAACTTAAATAAATTCCAGTTGATTAAAACACTTTTCAAATATTACTAATACCAAGCTTGCCGGTATTATTACTATTGTTATTATAATATCTCATCATTATTACCATTTAATGGGCTAGAATAAGGTTTATTCGAATTATTTGTTTATTTGTTATTATTATGAATTTGAGTATTCGAATTAATGCCCCACGAAAAATAAAATACGGAATTAATGTGTTAAATACGTGCTTAAAAATATATATACAATACGAAATCAACGTATTTCTTTTTATTATACGGTTTTGAAAAATTACTATTATTATTACCCCTTTTCAAATTTAATGTGAAGCACGGAATTTGTAACATACTAATTATAATACTAATACTAATACTGAAAATAGAAAAGGTATGTTTTAATTCCACATATAAAATACGGAATTTGCAACATATTAATACTAATACCAATACTGAAAAGGTACTGGTATATTTTTGATTCTGCGTATATGGTACGTAAATGTGTAAAATATAAATATAAAGAATATTAATTGGTGGTCCGCCGATCAACGATAGAAATTTGTTATGTAGATCCGGGATATCAAACTTATTAAAATTTAAGAGATCACGGAATCCAAATTGTCCATTAATTTTTTTTTAAAAAATATATTT